ATGACTGCAGGAGTCCTGTCCTTCGCTAACTCACTGGCTTTTGCAGAGGGGCAAGTTCAGAATCTGATCAAACTTGCCAAGGTCCATATTTCAATTTTATTGTTTTAAGGCACCTTCAGTATTAACGTATTGGTTCCAGTAGGTGTAATTTATGCCTGATTTAAGCGAAACAAATCTCTGCTAACTCTTGTTTCCTGTGTTTCAGAGGAGATATACATTTGTGTTTCAGGTATTTTTAATATAGCAATGCAATGCCCAAGTAATGGAGATTTCCCTTTTGGGAGGTTGATTGCTGGCTAATATTTTAGAGGACGGTTCCCAGTGTAAATTCGACGGGAAAATACTGAGCTAAGGTTTTAATTAACGTCGTATGGTTTCGTTTTTTAAGAAATCGTCACTGCGGAGAAAGTCTGAGCTAGTCATTCCCTGGCAGTCCCGGCGCAGAGTGTTAACCTTGCAAGTGGATTAGGCAGAGGGAATCATTCCCCTGCATCCTGCCGGGCTCCGGGGCTGCACAAGGCGTGTTGTCTCGCTGCTGGCGCAGGGGCTTGGCAGCCCCTCTGTGCAGTGACCACCTCCTTGCAGGGCGAAGCGACAAGCAAAGGTCCTTGGAGTCGGAACTGACTCCGATCTGTCCCTGCCTGCGTTTCTTTCCCAAGTCAGATCCTTCCAGAGCTCACAACACCAGCACAAAGGGCAAAGTTACAGGGACAAGGGGAACGGTCCGTTCAGAGGGAAGAAGGGGTTTTAACGCTCCCTCCCCGCGCCATGTCCTACAGACTCCCCGCTCAGCTCCGTGTGCCAGGCATGGGAGACCTTATCTCCCATGTAGGAAACCTCCACTGTTTTGTTTTCTCTCATTAGCCTCCCCAGTCGCATATTATTTATTTACTTCTTTTAGCTGTGGCTGTCCAAATACTTGACTTAGATTCAAATTCCTAAGCATCCAGAGCTTCAGTTCAAAGCCGAATGAAAAGTGTGTGTGTGAAAATGATATGCACATCCTCAACTAAACCTCACCCTGTAAAGTTTCAAAATAATAAAGGCATGGGTTCATAGAGGGGTGTATTCTGAGTGCCAAGCGCCCAGTAAAATTTGTCTTTTCTTCTTGCTCTGCCAGGGAAATGGGATGAACTAGAACTTCTTTCTGGAGCGAAGTGCATGGATGAAACGTACATTTTGTGGAGAGGATCCTTTTAGCTCTATAGGAACACACAGGTTGGTGTGGTTTTCGCCTCCTCTTTCCCTCCCCTTTTGGATCCGAAAGAAAATGGCTTGGGTTAATTGTGATGATGGCATCTCAGCGAAAGGTAAAGAAAGGCAGGTAAACTAGTAGATGAGTTCCATTAAGCAACAACAAAAAATGTCTGAATAGGGATGTTTAATTCTATAAGTAAAGAATTTCCAGTGTAGAGAAATCGTGCGAAGGTGGTGAAGTTTGATAAACAGCGCCTCCTTGGGTGGGGAAAAGAGATTTTCATCGCAAATAAGATCTAGATCGCAAGGAAAAAACTATCATACATCATATTGTCTTATTAGGAATAATGAAATTATAGGTTTACCTGCTACTATTTCAGAAAAGCTCGTGTTCGTTTAACTATAGTCTAGGCTTTCCTTCCCCTCACCCCCCCAGAATAGGTCTTTCTGATCATTTAGCTGTCCTTATCCAACGTGCCATTGGAGAGGGCTGTGTAAGAGTAATTGCAATATTCTTACATTTTCTGGTGGTGCAGAAGAGCCGTGGCCAACAATATGCTGATTCTCTCTTGTAAGATGTATCTAGTTGGATTTGAAAAGTGTTACGTTTCCAGCTTTCCCTCGTACTCACAATCAACTTCGGTATAGAAATAACGTCATTATATTTGGCAAATGAGGTGCCTACTCGGGGAATATAGTTACTTAAGAGTAAACAAACTGTTTATGTAGGCAAGTGTATTTGACACAAAATAGCGCTCCTGGTTGTCATGATACTTCTTGGCTGGGATCAGAATTTTGTTGAAGTAAAAAAGCACATTTTTGTAGCACTTCAAACTCTTTCTGCAGCTAATAACGCTATAGTGGAGTTGCCCCGGGCCGCTGTGTGTTAAGTTAGGGGGCTTTCTTCAAAGATAACCATGGGAGTTGATTGCAAATCAAAATCACGATAGTCAAACAGTTGCACAGAAGTCGGCAGTCTGGCAAACTGTTTTTCATAAGGAGGAGTGAAAAAGAGAAATCATATCTAGGCAGGCAGATGGGGTGGGGGGGGGGGGGAGACTGCTGAGAATGGAAAGATCGTCTCACTCGTGCTCAGAGTGAAGTTTCGCGGCATTTAGGCAGAGACATTTTCTTGCTTATCATATTGCTATGCCCCTGAAAGAAATAACACAAAAGCAGGTCTTCTGTATTTATCTTAAGCACTGTTTGTTATCCTCACCGCTTGAACCCTGTGCACTATACACATCTCTATGTGTTAAAAAAACTTTCCTAAAGAAGTTTGCAAATCGACCAGTGCCTTATTATGCTACAATAAAAATACAAACTGACTCAAACTGAATAAACAAGGATCGATCAGATAATTTCCGATATTATAATTGGCTTTAATTAAACACACTTCGTTCTAATTAACTCTGAAATTTTAGCATGCTTTGGGACGTTGGTGTCTGATTTGATATTGTCAGTCCAGATGTCCTAATAAAATTCAATCCTCCACTCAAGACTTCAATATTCACTAAGAACAAAATGCAAATTAAATGTAAAACCTAAAGTATCGCCAAAGGTATAATCAAGAAAGGTGTCTCAAAACTTCTCACTTTTTATTACGCAGTAGTTAGAAAATGCAGATTACATCCTAACAAGACCTCTCCTGAATAATATAAATCTTAACTCTTTCATGGTCAAGGGTTGCTCTCCCTGACGTTCCAGCCTAGAGGGGTTTGATCACTTCATACACCCCAACCTGCAGCAAAATACTCTTGACACAGTGATCACGTTTTATGATGTGTGCCCACTTAATTCAGAGAAGAAGAGGGGGGTCCTGTGCACCCCGGCAGCGGAGGTTTTGCACATTTGCTAACGTTACACTGGGTTCACAAAAAGTTTCAGCTATTAACAACTACTTTGCAGCCAGAGCCAAGGATCCGAGAGCTGTTCCAGATCGTTAGGTAGGATGGATATTTCCTTTTCCGTCAACATTACGGAAGTTGTGCGCTGGGCAAACGCCCGGCCCAGTGGCTAGTTCAGCCAGCTCCAGTCATTAAAGAAACTGGTACGAGACACTACAATGATATGACAGTCTGAAAAAAACAAAAGCTGATACTCTTGCCCTTGGAAAGGAGCGGAGAAAAAGGGACTCCATTCTTCTGGCAGAAGACCTTTTCATATACTTAGAATTTCTCTGTAAGCAATTGCTGTCTTTTAAATAATTAAAGCCTTAAAAGCAGGTCCATGATCTGCAAAGTTACATGACAGCTCTTCTTTGTAAAGCCTATTAGAGATCCTGTGTGATGGCTAGTGGACAGTTTACCTTGGTAAATCTCACTTCTTTGTTTTACTGCGGGTTCTCTAGGATGTGATCCTTTATTAACTCAGCACCTCTGCTCATCGCAGAGACCAGGATACGTGCTGCTTAAAAAAGAAAGCTATTCCCACATTAAACATTTGTATGTTTTCCATACTAATGGAGTCACTTAAAGCTGTTGCTAATTTAACTTTTTAAAAAGGCCACACTGTGGTGATTTGCATTTTCTTTAGGATATTGAAATGAAGAGAAAACTGCTGGGCGGTTAGGCTGCCCAGAGCATAGCTGGGGGCCATGCAGAAATAAAAACAGATAAAGAAAAGAAGAAAGAAAGAAACTGGCTTCTCTTCTAGACTATTAATAAGCAATTTGTCCCGCTGAAATTTACATTGCAAAGAAAAACGTGTCCAAGCGTTTGTCTGCTGTTGAGTTGTGTCAGCGCTGTCCAGCCTGCGTGGTGGATGGCTGCGTTTTACCACAAAGGTGATTTATGAGAAGGTTTGAACTTTCGGTCCTTCTAACTGTTAGGCAGGTCCTGGTGCACATGGCTTGCTTGGCGATTTATTTGCATATACGTGACCGCTCCGTTTTTCTTGGGCACCTTTCATTTCAAGCTGGACTTGTCACTCTACTGTACAACAAGGCACATGTCAGGGTTTGGCAGGAAGCAGAGAGCACGCGGTGACCAGCCCAGCGCTTACTTTCCAATTCCGCTCCCCGTGCTAAACATGGCACTTGCTTTGGAAGTTTATTTTAAAATCAATTTAGCAGCTCTTTGGAAATAAATACATTCTAGTTTAGGTAAACAACAAGTGCTGAGACCGACATTTCTCCTAGCAAAAATGTCCCTCTCGCAGCGGAGAAAGGAGCGAGCCGGCTGTAGCGTGGGGACGGTGTGCCATCTACAGGACACTTGCATTTGCATTTGCAGCAGGCGAGGCAAAAATGGGCTTTTCCCATAATGTCCTTCTTACATTTTGATTGCTATTTAAGTCACTTATAAAAATTACTCGACTCGTTCTTTGTGCCATTTTGGTTATGAAACATTGATTATTTGTTACTTGAACTTTTACGCACTATATTAAAACTTTGGAAATAATAACGGCTCCAGCCCCTGCCTGCAATTTCTGAGACATTAGATTAAAAGATATGAAATGTAAAGATAATGCAATTTGATTTGTTAGTCTAACTCTGCGATTTGAGAGTTGATGTCCCCAAAGACTAGGCTAGCTTTTTCCCTTTATTTATTTTTATTAAAACATCAATCTACTCTGGAGCTGGGTGAACTCAGTTTCACCTAGAGAACATAAAATTCTCCATACCAAGGAAATAAGCACCTTTCATAAATCAACAGTATTCCTGACAGATCGATCAATTTTTGGTTGTTAATCCGAAAGGAGGAGTTTTAATTGCTTCCTGCCTTTTAGTTCAGGCACCTTGGCGTTTCAGCCCCTGCAGGACTCGCCTCTGTGTTCACTGCTTTTGCACGGGTGGGGGGAAAAGCCAGACCTCCGGCTAAGCAACCCAAGCCGCTCCCCGCCCTGGCGGCAGGCTCGGTTTCACACCCCGGCCCGGAGCACCCGGCCCAGCTGAGCCGCTGCGGGTGGCAGGGGGCGCGGCGCGGGCATCCCGGACACACACCCGCGCTGGCCATGCCTGGCAAGGCAGCGCGGGACAAGACAGACAGTACAGACATGCAGAGAGAGGTAGGACCTGTTTGGAGAAGGCAGCGCGTTAGGAACACGTGCAACGTGACAGCCAGCCCTGCGGATCCCGCCTGCCCC